ACTTAAAAATCGACCAGATCGAAAACTACACTATCTTTCAAACCACTAAATGTTCAAAAATCCACTAAATCTAGTCCTTATTAGTGAGTAGATCGCGATTAGTAAATTCACTAAACCTTAGTAATTACAAGCATTATTTAGTAGATTATTCTTTCACGTTAGAACACGATAACCACACACATCGACTGAATCTCAGTTTATTGAAATATGCATTGATAAATGGATATACATAAGTAGACTTGTTATAAAAACAGACTAGTTCTATTAAATAAAATATTTTAAAAAATTAACACAGTAATTCACAATGGGCTATTTTCTATGGCAATGTCATACAAATAACCTTTAGATCTTAAATACCATAAAACAAGGGCGAAATTAAACCGCAGGTTTCTACTTATGAAATGCACGCACTAAAATAAATCCATCTCTTTCTTAATTTATAACAAGAGATATAGCGACATTGTGTACAATCATAAAAACTATTACGCCTTCTGTGTCAAAAATATGTTTGGACGTATCCGTACGCTTTCGACCTTGAATGCCACATTAAACCCATGAAAGCCTATGCTTTGTAATCTTACTAATATTATAAATACAAAAGTTTACATAAAGGGATGGATGGATAGATTGATGTTTGTTAGAGTTTGGTAGTCTTAACGGCTGAACGTATTTCAATGAAATTTGGTATAGATTGATGAGGATAGTCTGGAAGAACACATACTCACTTTTTTTTAATTTCACGCGGTTTGAGTCGCGAGCGAAAGCAAGTGTTCTGTAAATGTATACACATTTATGCAGCTGACTGTACAGGTGTTTCGATATACAATGATACTTTGATTTTCCACTGCGGAAACAAACGTGTAAAAACATACTTATCTCTGTTACATTAAAGAGAATAAAAGCGACAAGAGTAGGTTTTTGTGATGTTCAGTAGAACCTAGATAAGTTAAAGTCCAAGGGAAACAAAAAATATATTAAGTAATAGAGGTTTTTAAGTTACCGAGGTTTGAGTTATCGAGGTTCTACTGTATATTGACAGTGAAAACCCGCGGTAAAGTTGACCAGTTAAGCTGCTACAGCTTACGGGCGTTTGTTCCATAACTAAAGGAAACTTTCCGGATAACGTAATTAATATCGATTGTGAGCAGTAAATTTGCCGAGTATAGATTTTAACTTGAACATAATTTTTATAGTACGTCAATGACCAATTTGGGTATGAGCTAGGTATTTCCCTTTGCCACAATAGAATTATAGTCCCTTAGGAAGATTTAGTATAAAGGACGTCCTTAGTGACTATAATAGTGGATCAGAGTGTCACGACACGTGACCGTTTTCAAACGGGGGTAATGGACACTAAACAGTTACAATGACACTGTGAACCTTCCCACAGTTTCGCACTTCAATTGTACACTGTCGAATGTTCTAGAATTATTTAATTCGGAAATATTTCGCAATATAATACAACAAAACATTGCGGAAGAACTCACACAAACCACTGTTTTCCACCAAAAATCGTTAATTAATATATATTACGTAAATATAAATATTTAATTATTTACTTTCGGTATACAATATCAACAAATACCTTCATGTATAACAAAATTACCATACACGAGCCTAAAAATAACTATTTTGTGTAGAGCATATTGAATATTGATAGGTAAATTAAAAATATTAACAAAACATTTAACAACAGTGAGTTGCCTATGACGTAACCTCTATACAAAAGTTATTTAATTTCTTTAAAAAGAACAAGAGGGCGTAACGTGTTTCGGCAGTGAAAACCGGCGGCAATTTTTGAATTGGGACTTTGCATTATAATTTACGATTGATTCTTAATATTGTCAATTTGCTTTATCTTTAGGCGAGAATATCAGTTCACAACGTAAGTGTTAGTGTCAAGCTTCGTAGCCTTCATCTACCCTGCCTCAATTTTCATTCCGTAGCCTTTACTAAATCCTACATCGTGCTAGTTGCATGCCAGTTAGCATTTACACATGCCTGTAGCTGACATGCGCAAGTAACTTGCAAGAGTGCCAGCTGGAATACATTCCTGATTTATCACTCGTGCAAGACCGGTCATCTGGGTCAGTCTCACTGCCGCCTTTAATACGTTGATAAATTGATATTACCATACAAATCGCTATTCAAAACCTATCTATAAACAAATATGTATAGACATTAACAATGTGGAGTCTCAATTTAGTATTTCAATAATTTAGTTTCGTAATAGCTACACTGCTTCTGGAGGGAGAAGAGAACGAGATTCGAGTAGGCGGTAAAGCCTCTATCTGTGGATTTATACTGCAAGCTTCAAATCATTAGATCTTTAAATCATGCAAACCTTTGTACGTTCGCCCTTTATCATAAATCAAGCTATATTAGTTGGACTGAATTATCTTTGGATTCAACTGCTTACCGATGGCAGTGCAAACTTTGTCTGGGAAATACCACGAAAACAGACCGCATTATTAAGCAGTAATAGGAAAACCTATTTTAAATATCTTAGCAGATATCCTCAGTTCCCTCACCCAGCATCCCTTTACACCCTACTACATTAAAAATATATGTTCTGACCATCAACTTGTAGGTCCCGAGCCGCCAGTTAATCTAAAAACAACTGTACTATGCTTGTTTTGTGTTGTGGACCGTTTTAATACCCTCAAGTGTGAAGATCCGGGTTCTAGTTCGCAACACATCGTTCCCAGCATATTGACGTTGGCAACAAGCGTATCCTTCCGTCTGACGCGTACTATACTAAATTTACATTACCATTTATGAATAGAATAGGCTTTTATATTCCTTATTATAAATCAAACAAGTACATACAATAGAGTGGGGATGAGATCAGCTGGCAACAGGCCAATCCTGTCTTGGAAAGGTCATAACTAAAGGCGGTATTGTCGGAAGAATGACTCACGCTTCGAGACTGAGAGTAACCACAAGCCTTTAAAAAACGTGACACGATTTATATGATATTAATTGTTGTCTGGGAGTTTAGTTTTACTTTAATTACATTCTAAACATAAAAGAGCTATACACAAAAATCAGTTTTATCATATAATGTAAATAAAGATCAAGAAAAGTACTAAAGTATCACAATCGTAATAAAAATATTCGTAAATTGTTCTTTCTTTGTCACAGATTATTATGGAAACATTAAACTACAAAAATCAGAATGTTCACTTTTAAAAAAGGATGGACTAAGATTTGGAGCATACTTGTCCTGTATGTAAAAGCTAACTTATTTTATATTCAACAAGACATGTCTCAAGAAATGTAAACACATGGTCATCCTACAAGACCATATTTACATAGTGCGCTGACCCACAACAATCGAAGCACCGTTATCAGATGATTTTGGCTTAAAGAGATAACTCTCAGTGAACGTAAGATAAAGCTTAACAACACGAAAATTAATAACATACATATTATATTAAGATGATTTTGTTAACTTCTATTTATAATTATCCATGTTTACAGGTTTATTTTACAACTAGCTGTCGCCCGCATCTCCATCCGCATGGAATTAAAAAAAAACAAATGCAAGTAACATATGTGTTCTTCCAGACTATACTATACATCTATGCTAAATTTCATCAAGATCCATGCAGCAGATAAGGCTACAAACTCAATTAATCATCCATCCATCTAAACTTTTGCATTTATAATATTAGTAAGGAGTAAGATTAAAGGTCATATCAATTAGTTAGTCTACTTGTAACACTAAATAAACTACAAATGCATTATCAATATTTATACAAATACATTAGAATAAATTTGTAAGCCAGAAGATATATAATCTATAAAATATTGATTAGTGGAAATAAAGATGTATTAATTATAATCATGGCTCACTATACTACTGCCCAACATGAAGTGGACATAGCCATATAAAGTACACTGAAAGGACTGAGTAAGGGTCTTAAGTCTAGTACTGCCTACACTGAGTATATACCATGGAATCAACTATGATTTCTAACTATTAATTGTGCATATATCATAAATTTTTTAACAAATTAAGGCAATTATGTTTCACTTTAAATAGGTTTTGTTTTTAATTGCTAATTTTTTGTTCCTAACTCATCATATAGTAACAACACTTTTGGTAGACAAGTGAGGATATTAAAGAAAACTAGAAATGTAAATAAGGAAGATAAAGCAACAGCAATTTACAAGTATTTAATGGCTACACAAGGAAATATGCATTATATAACATGTATGTACACAATATGTAGAATAGGTAATTAAAATAAAATCCATTGATAATGAGGTAACCTTGGTAACTAAATGCCTGGTTCTCTTTTACATATAAGAAATGAGTTTAAAATTGATTTAAATGGGACAGGGGGTCCAAATTTACATTAACAGTTTTAGTCTTTGAGATTGTAAATGGCAACTACACATTTACAAGACAGATGTCAACATTTAATAGATTTATAAAAAAAAGTATAAAGGCAATATGTGGTGCAGGTAGAAAAGGGGTTTACACACCTGAACAATAGTCTTAAATATTTACTATTAACAGTTATTTCCAACATGAAGTCAAATTTATAGTACATTTTGTAAGGCCCAATACAAAATTGAATAGAGAAAATAAAACCACATGAATTACAAAATAAAACAAGATATGTGGTGAAATTACATTACAAGGACAAAATATTGATTGTCAGTTATATTATATTAGTCATTTTTTATTATTATATATATTAGTCAGTTATATATTTTATGTATAGCTATAAAAACACTAATAAAAACTAATGTCAAGTATATTTACATATTTCAAGGGCTCTATTTCATGGATGAATGTTCAAAAGAGAATATAGTAATACAATTTTATTTTATAATCTGTGACTTTCCGCCTCTATATCTTGTAAACGTTTTAATGATAATGAGACTTGAATATTAATTGTTAGGCGTATTCACAACTTTCTCTCTGCTATGGTACTGCTCGAAACATGAATGAAAATATGCGTAAAACATCCAACTAGTTTACTTACATCGTAAAGTACATTTTTCTCAGCAATTGAAGTCCTATCGCGATCTGGAATAAGAAAAAATAAACTTAATACGGATAAAGAAAATGGGTCGAGGTGTTACCGTATTGGGTATAATATGGAAAATCATATTAGCAGCATTCTTTGCAAAGAGAAATGAAGTGATATTACCATCATCCTCTGCGCCTGCCTGTCCAGCATCCGTCTTTTTGGTCACTGAACTATCCATTACTTCTATGTGATCGCTGTCTCCCGAAGCCATTTTTGTTTCCCCGTTACACCCCCTATTTTGGCTGCAATATTAACAATTTTTGCACAAAATGAATAAGCATGGCTCACATCACATTTGCATCGCTAACACAATGATTCACTGTAATTTAATTAGAAGAAATCAATTAGTTTACGCGAAAATGCTCGCCCAAAGCATCCATCTGACACAACCGTTCAAAGTAACTGTGTTGCTAGTTGCTGTCTGGATCTGCGTGATTTTACATCTTGTAAAAACATCCAACGTTAAAGATTTAATTATGTAAGCTTAATAAACCAGAAGGACAATGAAATTTTAAAATGATATCTGATGTGAATATAAAGAGGTTTCGTCTCAACTTATCTTAATTTTGTTGGCTTATGAAACTGCGTATTCACAGGTTATATTCACATTAAAAATTATTAGTTATAAGTGATTAATCTTTTTAAAAGTACTTTAAAAATCCAAAACTATAAACAAATTCTTATTTGTAATTTTTCTAAACAGAAAATCTCACATCACCATATAATGGAAATAGCAACACACTCAAAACGCCATGTTTATTTCTTTTCTTTCCGTCATTTCGTTGCCGCGGTAAGAAATCTTTTAAGGTTACTTGTTATCTTTGCGTCCACTTCTATTATGAATACGGCAAAATAATTAATTTAAGTAATAAACCTTTATATCTTCCTTGTGTTTAATAATAACAACTTATGTTAAACACTGTGTTTTAGTACATCCGAAGTAAAAGACAGTGGTCGTCTGGAATACAGAGTGTAGCGGCATTACATGAAAATGGGTAAAAAAGTAAGAGAATATAAATCTGGAGATTTCATATTTGCTAAAGTAAAAGGATATCCAGCATGGCCAGCTCGTGTAAGTATAAAATGTATAACTGAATGATTATAACTTGTTTTTATCCGACATTATTGTAATTCACAAGCCTTTGCGCGGGAAGACATCATGCCCGACGCTTTCACAAGAATTGGATGAGTGGTGCTCTTTATGATATTGTTACTATTAAAATTCGTTCCTATTAAAACATAATAATAGATGTCAATAGTTGTTTTCTTATTCAAAAAGTTAATAAAACTGATAAAAAGATCCGAATGTTATGTAAATTGTGTAACCTATTTTCTTATCTCGTTACATATTTATATACGATGCCAAAAGAGTCAGAAATTTTATACCAATAGGAAGGTTTTTCTCTGTTCTTCTTTTTTCTAATTAGACAACAATTTGATCAAACAATTAGATTCTTATAATGATAAATCAGTCGTAATTTTCTCGTTTCAGGTGCAAAGATTGAATGGCAAGAAGTATTTTGTATATTTCTATGGAACTGGAGAAACGTAAGTTTGTATAAATTAAATTCTTCAAATATCCCATTTGGTTTACTTTTGCTAAATATCTTAAACCTATTATTAGTTTGAGGTTGAATTTAATTTAGTTTTAATTGGTTCTAGATTACTAATAGTAAATATTAAAAGATATTTATGTATAATAATTTCTAAAATATTACTGAAATACATTGTCCGAGATGTTAAGTTAATTGTATTTAATCGAATAATAATTGTAAATTTTATCATATTCAGAGCAAATCTACCACCAAATATGATCTTCGACTATGCGGAGAATAAAGATAAATTTCTAACTAAGACCGTAAAAAGGAAAGACTTCAATCTTGGAGTTAAACAGATTGAACATGACTTTGCTAATAATGTGCCAGTTGAAGAGGTTGTTGGGACAGCACTGGTAATTTTATTTTTTACATTAGTAAAATTTCGTAGAATATTATTTTCTGTAGTAAACCTGACCGCATAATATCCTAAGAAAATTATCAAGAAATGAACACAATATCTAAATTATACAAAAACTAAGAAAACATTGTTGTGACTTCTAAAGCTAGCTACGGAATGATCTGATAGTTTCATTTTTATTTTTTTTATTTATGGATAACTTACAGCTAACTTACAAAAAATAATAATAAAAGAAACAAAAAACTGAAGGCCAATTACAAGTTATTGCAGATAGTTACAAATGTATATTATATTGAAATTCAGTCCTTGTAAATTCAAAGTCCTTTCAAAATCACATAACACTTATATGAAAATAAAGATCATCTTCCACTCACTATTGTGCTTTCTGCTTATGCTGTTTTTCTGAAGTTTTCGTTTATAAACAGACAGTCGTTAATTAGTTATTTATTAGTGCTAGGTTGGTCTATGTCTCATGAGTTAAAACACAAGTTACCAAGGTTACCTAGGTAACTTGAATTTTACTGAGTTGAGTTGCTAGTTCAGGAATGCATTTCATGAAGTTATCAAATCAAAAACACTAACAACTAGTTACATGCAGCTGGGAAATTAATTGAACAATTTGGTTAAAATGCATATGTAGGCAATAATTGCCTGTCTGTTAATTAGTTCGGTTAAAATTATATTCCACAGGTTAAAATGCATTGACAACAGTTTTTATTACATAAAAAATAATCTTACTGGTATTATAAAAAAAGTTAGGATGGATGGATGGATGTTTGTTAAAGTTTGTAGCCTAAACGGCTGAAAGATCTTAATGAAATTTGGCATAAATGTAGAGGATAATCTGGAAGACCACAAAGGATACTTGATTATATTTTTTTAAATTTCGCACGGACGGAGTCGCAGGCGAAAGTTAGTGTTTTATATATGGACAACAATCTTGTGCATCATTATCTCATTTTTCATGTTGTTAAAGTATTTTAATATATACAATGTTTTAAATTACAGTTACCAGAAGACACAAGTGTCAATGACACTATCAATGAATCAGCTGCTAATGACACAATGGATGAGTCTGTTGCCACCGAGGATGACATCCCAGCTGCAAATGACACTACTGAAGATGTATGTATTTTAACTTGTAGGAAGTAGTAGTAGAAATAGTAAAGTATATCTATATTCAAATATTTTAGAGGCTCAGATTGTCGTGTGCTATGTTCGCCACTATATTTGGATTCAATGGAAATGAGAAATAATAACAAATCTATCTAAGTTTTACCTTTAAAAGACTAATCATAGAATTATTAAAATACATGTTTGTATCAATAATTAAAACTGAAATGTTCTATAATAAATCCATCTGACTGATATTATAAACTAGTTCGCGACTTCGTCTGCGTGAAATGAAAAATAAAAATGTAGCCTAGTAATATTGTGGTTATGTAGTTTTTTAATGGTGAAAGTAGTTTTGAAATCAGTCCAGAATTTTGACTTTTTTCTATATAAAAAAATCCAAAAATTAGTAGATATTAAATAACAGACAGTGAAGTATGAAATATTTTTCATTTTAATTACATTCTACTTTATATCGATGGGTGAAAGGCTTTTTTAAGCCCCATTAGGTTAAATGTTCAGGAGAGCCATTTAAATTTTTTAGAAAAAAATGCATAAAAACACTCTAGAAAATAATTTAAATTGAAAGATTTTCAGACAGGTTTTAAATTAAAATTATTATAATTCTGCATACTTCATTATTAACGACGCAGAAAAAACCACGTATTCTGGATATATTACATGTAAGTCATCTCCTAAAATGGCGTTTGAAACAGCCTTTCACCCAACGATATAATGTTTATGTAGCCACGAGTACAATGTTCCAAGCTGATAAGATAATTGACTACTTCTATTTTGATTTTAACTTGAATTTGTAGTGTTTTATTTCCACTGCATAAACACATGTAACATACCTTCTCAATTAGTAACAAGTTTTTAAGCATGTTTTTCTGCAATGTGAACACAAACAAGTAGAATAAATGCTTTTAGTATGAACTAGAATTGATATAGTGGAATGAAATCTTTGATTTAGTATACATTTGGCTTATTATTATTTATTTACATTTTTTAATAACCCTCAAATTATTCTCCATAATATTGATAGAAATATTATTCAATAGTGGCCAGTGTGATAAACAACTAATTAAAAAAAAATCTACTGAACTAACTTAGAGAAAATTACGTGAGATTTGATTTTAGTATGTTGGTATCATAACATTTTTTTCTACAAAATACCATTAAATTAAGACTTAAAGGCAAGTGACAATTGCCATAAATAAGCAATCCATACATTATTTTATCATTGGATTTGTTAATAATGTAGCACTATTAAGTTTTTAGTGTTTCTATACAAATCCATATAATAATTAAGTTTATGCCAAAGTTACTACAAAAAGTTTAAGTAATGATTTGTCGAGGAAACTTACAATTATGTTCTACAAATAAACAATACAACTATAAACTTAGGAGTAACACCTTTTAAATACATTTATAAGAATCATATTAAAATATTTCGCAGAAGAATAAAAATCCAAAGACAAAAAGTTTTACAAATAACAAAACCACAGAGAAATAAAAAAGAAACATTTTTCCACAGACAAATGATACTGGTGTGGATGATTCTGATGAGACCGGTGGCCTCGTTATTGATGAGGGAAAGGTGATTGTTATATTAATATGAATACTCAGTCTTAGTCACTAAAAGAGTCCCTAAGTATATATGGCGACTAAGCGACTGTTTTAGTAACAAACTATACTAAGTATGACTGCTTAAATATCACCTTGTAAATGTTCTATATTAAGGCGCTGGGTTCATTTTACATTTTTTTTTTGTTTGCATGTTTATATCTACAGTCAGCTTCATAAAATGAATACATTTAGTTTTATAAACCGTTGGTTTCAAAAATATGCAATACGACTTACGGTCAGTCAAGTTCATGTTCAATGTTGGAATGGTTTCTGCATTTTTAAAAATATGTATACAAGTTACTAAATTTAAATGTATACATATTTATGCAGCTGACTGTACTGTCACTTAATATTTGTCGATATAAGAAACTAACTGACAGATGAGTTAGTCATGTAGTTGGTTGATTAGTTGGTTAAGATGTTGGTCGAATGTTTGGTCAACTCCATATTGTAAAGTAATTTTTCAGGCCCCAGTTAGTAAGATAACATCTACACCTCATTCATCTAGTTCGTTTACGGCTGAATACTGAAACGCTATTTAAATATGTAGCACCACTATATATAAGTCCCCACTTAACTAAATTTCCTTAAAATTTGACGTCCATCAGATTGTAAGAGCTTACGAAGCGAAATATTCAAGATTCGTTTCAGTATTTGGCCCTCTTTTAAGTAAATTGTACATAACATTTTTGTGTAAAGTATCTTAACACTTCCCAGATAAAGGTTTAAGTTTAAAATGTTGAATGCATTACATGGTAATGGTATACTGGATCAAAGAAGATTTTATATTTCACATTAATAACTCAAGTTATCTGTTCAGAAGGGTCGCAAGTCTAAAGCGGCAACTCCGGCGAAACCAGTGAAAGAACCTAAGACCCCACGCGGGAAGGCAAAGAAAGAAGAACAAAAAGAAGAAGCAGAAGAGAGAAAAGAAGAAGAGATAATAAGTAGGAGCGGGAGGAAAATACGTCCGAAGAGGTAATAAGAGCATATTTTTTTTGTAAACTTTCCTTATCCAGTGATAAAATAATTAACATTATGAAGTTTTGTGCGGTATTAAAAAGTCAAATTATAAATGTAGCCTAAGTAGCTTTCGCCTGCGAATCCATCCAAATGGAATAAAAGAAAAGAAAACTAAGTATATGTGTTCTTTCAACTATTCTCTACATTTATGCCAAATTTCATCGAAATCTGTTCAGCATTTAGGCTACAAACTCTAACAAACATTCATCCATCCAAAATTTCGCATTTATGATATAAAAAAAATTACGAGTAATTTACTAGTTTATAAAAAGCAATGGCACCGTTAGTTGCGCTAGTGGAAAAAGAGGTAAAAACACAGTTAAATTTTATTTATTACATTATACTTCTTATATACTAACAGATATATAGATGAACACACTGAAGAGAATACTACTTTACCTTCGCCGGCACCAAAGAAGCGCAGAGGCGCATCCCCTGCCCTGGAGAAGGAAAAGGAACCAGAAAAAGAGAAACCAAAGCCGGAAACCACAGCCAAGGCAAAGACTGACAAGATGAAACTCTTTAACACTGTTTCACAGGTTTGATTTTACTCTTTTTTAATATTATTTGTTCATGTAACAATTATCTTTGAGAATTTTGAAATTTCTTCAGTATATTAACAGTTAATTTTTTTTTTTCAGTCCGAGCTCGAAGATTTGAAAGAACCCTTTGCTCAAGGTATGTTCCATTCGTTTATATAGCGTTGGGCGTAACGGTGATAGTCTCTAAATGCGGCTCTCAGAGTCGCTATGGCCCGCCCTTAGTGTACATTTTGTATGAAATATCTAAACTGCGGGACCCCTTAGTAACTAGTTAACGAGTAGCAAAAGTATTGAAATCTAAAATAATTGAAATATGCTTCAGTTTTATATTTAGATCCTAAATACAATACGTAATTATTCTTAACAACAGAGTCCAAATATCAAATCTGAAATAAAATATATATTTGAAAAAAAAAGTAATGTTAAAATGTTTAAACGAATGTTTTCAAAGTTATTATAAAATCAAAAAAGAAAATTATAAAATGCGTTTTTATTAAAATAATAAAAAAAAATTGAGACAAAATAATTACGATTATGTAAAAATGATTGGCTGGCTGAATGACCAAAACCTTTGCCTTTCTAAAAAAAAAAACAATTTATACCGCGAAGATTTGACAGTGAGTTTTCACATCGCAATTGTTTCGGTTAAATACATTAAAAATGAATTACGAAATTAAAAAGAAAGCTAGTAAACCAAAATTTAAACCTCCCGTGAAGAAAGTTAGTGCAACCAACGATATAATTAGAAATGCAGCTCCTCAAACTGAACCACAAACTTCTGGAACTTTGAATATTGGCTTAGAAAACATTGAAATGCAAAATAATTATTTCATAGAACATGCAACACAGCTTCGTAATGATTTAAATATAACAGTACCTTATAAACGAAGATCGGAAAAATCATTAGGCGGTCTTATATTTGGATCCCTTAATGTTTTGAATGACGACATACAAATGTCTCAAGAAATAAACCAAACAATAGATTTCAGTGAAAATATTCAATCACTCAATCGTAATGTTTCTCAAAATTCAATATCGTCTATTGTTAATTATTATAATTTAGATCGTAACAGTTTTGTTAAAGATTCTAATGAAATTGATTTTTGTAACTTATTTCAAACAAATAATGAAGGAAATGAAAATTTAATAGCATCTTTAGAATATGGTGATATTGGTTTTAATGTGAAGTATGCAGATTATAATGCGGTTGATGTTTATGATGAGAATATTTTAAATGAAGCTAATGAAACTTTAAGAGATATTCTAAATTTGTATCCGCAGGAAAATGAATTTATTATTAACATGAGATTGCAGCAATGATATGCAACTAACTTTTTTTATATATATTTTTTTTCATTTGTACTGAATTAAAATAATAAATTGATTGTAACTTTCAAATTGTTGTTTCAAGTTAATTATTTATTTTTTAATTAAGGTAAATACATATTGTAGTAAAAAGTTCGTAGAATAATTTTATTACTTTCTAGGAATATGTTATCAGGTATTTTTATAAGCATTTAATTACATTTATATCAAACATTTTTTAGTAGTCTATATAAGCCAATTTTTATAGATTTCTTCTAACTCTGCATCGTTAATTGATTACTAAGGGAATCTCTTAGGGAAACTAAACTATAATTCGTGATTGTACCCATGACCACTATTATTGCTAAAATTACTCATATATTTGTAAAGTTTGCCGGAAGCCTAGTTTTAATCCCCTTTCCTTATCATTTTCTTTTATGTAAGTGGATTTGATAGAAGGGAAAAGGAATAAAGGAATAATCCTCTCTGCCAGTTCACTCCGATCAAAGATAAGCAAGGTCTAAGATGCCTATTAGCAGCTGTTGCTTCGCTATTTTGGCGAATTCATGCTCCTTTACCTTATGACAAACGTGAAGTATTAGTTATACAGTACTAGCTTTCGCCTGCGACTCCGTCTGCGTGGAATTAATAAAAAATAAATAGACTACGTTCTACATTTTTGCCAAATTTCAGCTATATCCGCGTTTAAGCTACAAAGTCTAGCAGACATCCATCAAAATTTATTTATTTGAGTTTGAGTTTATATTAGTTTTGTTTGAACAGAGGATGCGGATAAGGAGAACATCCTGATAGCGTATCTCAGCAACGGGCAGTATGTCGGCATCCGGCTGTTCCAGTCGCGACCAGCGAACTTCAAGAACGAAGCTGGCCGGCTGCAGTGGGATAAGCAGGCAGCGACAAATGCACTCACGCTCAAAATGCAATTAGGTAACTTTTTTTGTATAAGGTTCTTATGTGAGGTTGTCATTCGATCACTGAATTAAAAAAAAAAGCAAAATAAGTAGCCTATGTGTTCTTTCAGACTATCCTCGACATCCATGCCAAATTTCATCAAGATCCGTTCTGGACTGTACAAACTCTAACAAACATCCATCCATCTAAACTTTCGTATTTATAATATTACTAAGATTTCATGCGGACGAAGCCGCGAGCAACAACTAGTGTAATTATAACTATATATAATTTTGTTATCAGAAAGGGGACAAATAACGCCTCAGTCAGTGATGGGACAACTTGTCACTGATCTACATTTGACTGATGAAGAGAAAGCTACGCTGGACAAGGAAAGAGAGACAGGTTAGTGCTTTTTTATATGTTCTATAGATAATTATTTAAACATTTAAAATTACTGTTTAAAAAATCACCATCAAGATTAACTGTCGATATTAGAATATTGTAATAATTATATACTGTCCCTTAGTGAATATTTGTCATACTAAATATACATTTAGGGACTCTTTTAGTGACTGTTAATATCCTTGAAATATGACTTGTGATTCAAACACTAAAGAAACCTTTGGATCCCAAATACACTATCACTAAATCGATTCCCTTCTCAAGTTGCTTATGCATTTAGATTTTATTTATTTATTTATTTTAATACATAATAATATGAAAGTGTCCGTAAACCCAATTGCGGGTTTGTCTAGACACTTTGGGTACAAAGAATTTTTACAAAGAAAGATTGATTATAGGAAAGGCATAAATTCATACTTGTTAAATATAATACTTGCCTTTTTGTAGAGGAAAAGAAATCTCGCGTCCAGTTTCTTAAGACGGAGATGAAGCTGATAGAATTAGATGCCAAGATAAAGACCTGCCTTTGTTTAGAGAAGGCTGACACCGAACTCTGCTTGAAGCTCCTTGATGAACTAATGGGTAAGTAATAATTGTATGTGCTGAAATTGTTCACATCAGGACACAGAAAGAGGCTATTTTCTGTGTTGTCCCAAATTCCGCAATTTATTGAAAAAAAAATTATATGATAAGGGTATAAAGGAAAAGGGACTCTTCACGATCTCATAAGAAAGGTGTGAAGTGGGAGTAATTCCACGTTTCAACTTATGAGTGTGAGTGCGTGCATTATTCCTGTTAAGCTCCTCTTCACTTTCCCTTTTTTGAGGAAAGGATGAAAAAAGAAAGTGGACTCGATGGAGGAGACATGTAGGGGAAAATGTCCTCCTTATATCGATTCAGCATAGCAAACTTAGTAAAAACTTATTCATATTTTTTATACTTACTTATGTTTATATGTATTTTCTTTTCTTTGATTGTCTTGTTTTAACATTTACCCTCTTTTTATTAGTTTGTCAACTGTGTAATAAATGTAGAATGTTTGCCACCTGAATGGATTAAGTGAGTTATTATTTTTAACTAGCTGTTGCCCATGACTTCGTCCGCGTGGTAATAGAAAACATTCGAACTACATAAATAACAAAAAGCTATGTATCCCTCGAGAACCAGTCATTTCTCGAGGATGAACCTTATCCCATGTGAACTCCAGACTTTGTTTTATATCTGTGCCAAATTTCAGTACGATGTGTTGAACCATTGCAGAATGATCGAGTAAATATTAAAAAACTATATTAATGAATCCCACGGGAACCGTAACTATTCCCGGGATAAAAGTAGCCTATGTGTTCCTCCAGACTATGCTCTAAACCTGTGCCTTCATGGAGATCCGTTCAGCCTTTTATGCTACAAACGCTAACAAACATCCATCCATCCATCGTAACATTCGCATTTATAATATTTATATGATTTGTGTTCCAGATTTGGATGTGAGGCCGCTAATGCTGTTGAAGCACCCGTCGTGTTTGGAGACGGTGAAGCGAATGCGCGCGTACATCGGCAACGCCGCCTCCTGGGAGCTGAGCGAGAGCGCGGCGCTGCGCTTCAACGAGCAGGCGCAGCGTATACGCAAACGGGCGGATAAACTATACACTGATATGAAGGTACTGTGTATCGGGAGCCTAATAAATCCTCTACCCCTTTTCACACTTCGTGGAAAGGTGAAAAAACGGAAAGGTGGTGAAGCAAGCCACCAGAATATGGTCGAAATGGCGAAGCGATCGCTGCAGACGTCTGCAATTGCAGATGCGTTGCCTAAATCGACAGAAGAGTGGACATAAAAACGATATTTCCTTTTCCTATGTCACCATCGTTAAAATATATTACGGTTCCAGCACACTCATCAGACTATTTTATAGGCGGAATTGCTTCCACCTCACGCCTGTCCTCTGTGTCATTTTAGGACTTGTCCGGTAATAACCCGGTTATTACTGAACGAGTCTGAAGTTATTTCAATACATACAAAAATACATAAATACGAAAATACAAATCTTTCCTCTTTATAATATTAGTATGGATATAGATAAACATCTTTACCTGCATGTTTTTACCACAGGAATTATTCACAACACCAGCTGGTCTCTCGTTCTTCGAATATTTCTCGGAAAGGGTTTTGGAGTTCAAGAAAGTTACTGCAAAGCTAACATCGGATGAACTGTTGGAAATGGTCCATGAACCAATAGGTATGTTGTTTTAATTACTTCTACAACTTGCTTTAACGAGGAATTAAAGAAATATATTATAATCAAAGCATTATTACTGTCGTAATGTAAAGTTCCAATGACAATACTTTTTTATACTGGTTCTAGTGATTTAACTTTATTTCTTACAAACAGAAATGCAAATCAATCCTCTTTATAATATTAGTTATTGCTTTTGGTAAAAAAAAAAATAATATTACTTTCATCATAAAGTATCATTCTATAAATTGTCGCTTTGTCAACTTATGTCTAGTGGTCTAAGATAGTCGATTTTTTTTCTTTTTTTTTTCGTTTAATTCAGATTTGTCATACTAAATCTACATTAATGTAGACCATTTAACTATGCCGAAATATTACAGTTTATCTAAAATATGTTAGCAATAATAAATACTTTTTCTTCCAGAGATGTCCGCGCCCACACAACTATCGACGAAAACTCCGCCGGCAACGAAAGACGAGGAATCAGCGCCTCCGACGGAAGATGATAGCACTAAGAAGAAAGTCACAAACACACCAAGTAAATTTTAATTAAACAATTCACTAATATAAATTAATTTATTTACATATTTTAATGGTTTTCTCTTTTTTAGCAAAAGCAAAGAAACCTAACGGCACACAAGCGAAACCACCATTAAAGAGACAATCATCAAGAAAACAACAGCAAGAAGAAAAAGAAACCACTAAAGAAGCAGAGGTAGTTCCAGAAGATAAAAATGAAAAGCCAGAAGAGAGTAAAACAAACGCAGAAGAGAACATCACGGAAGAGACAGCACCGGAAAATCCGACAGAGGAAGCAAGACAAACAGAAAATACAGAACCAGAAAAAGAAACGGAGACAAAAGAAAAAAGCCCAAGTCCAGTAAAGGAAAGTGAGAAGAGTCCGAAAAAGGTTGAAGAGAAACCACAGAAGAAGACTGAAGAGAAAGTAGAAGAGGTAAAGGAGAAAGAGAAGGAAAAGCCGGATGTAGATGAGCCTAGGGCGAAGCGAACAAGAGAGGTAAGATTTTGAATACATTAGATCAGAGGTGACCCTTGTCAACGCGATATTTTTTAAATAAATGCTTTATGCAAGTCTATTTAGACTTAATAATGTTTATCTACCATAGTTATTATTGATTCCATAGTAAAAATCATTTATAATTCCACCTTCGTGCTTTTTTCTGTTTTTTTTACAGGGCTGCCACAAAATGGCAGACATGATCTTAAAAATTTAAAAGAGGAATTGCCTAAATAATATATTTTCGCTGTAAAATCAATTTTTAAGGATTGTTATCCCAAAATAGATATTAATAAAAATATTTTAAAATTGGTACTTACCGTGAATTAATAATAACATTCTTTATGGTTTTTTCCAGAGCAAGAAGACTGAACCACCATCTCCAAGGTCACCATCAAAGAGAAAACAAAAACTTTAAACGTTAAGAAATTTGCGATGGGCCGAGCACAATACAAGCAAATTTTTGCTGCATTCAGACTAAACGATCACTAAGGGTCACCCTTAGTTTCACATCTACATTTAGTATGATACATACTAAGGGACTTATTTAAGTTACTGTTATATTACTAAGAGTACAGCAGATTCTTTTTGAATCGCTTTAGTAAAGTCATTGTGTAAACAAGATTATATTTTTTTTAATATTTAGAATTTTTTAGATATACAATTTTGATCTTTTGTTTCTAAAAACAATAATAAAACAATATAAACGAAATGTAATAAATTTGAAATAAATCTCATTAAATAATCGACTAATAACAAAGGATAATTGTATCAAAATATCAATTATTTGCATTTTATGGACTACATTATTATTAAGCGAATAAATATAGAACAAATGTCCCATCTCCTTCTTATCCAGGAAAAGGAATGGTGCTAAAAAACTGGAATGAAAAACTTGAAATGACACTCAAAAATTTGAGTAAAATACTGATTATGAAGATATTATCATTAAATGATAATTATAATCAATTTGTAATTGATTCCAATGTAATAGAAATAAGAAATCCTGTCTAAACAATTTTACCTTTATAAGGCTGTAATCACAGACTTATTAAATAAACAGACATGTTTCTATCAAACATTTTAAACAATGAGCAAAATCTTGATAGTTTCTTATTTCCATTGAATTCTATTTTTAACTGTGAAAACGAGTTTTCACAACCGAAACATGTACAAAAACATGTTTTTGTTTAAAATTAACTTTGACGTTCAGATTTAAGACAATTAAGGGAAAAAAAATATCAGTTATGTTTAAATTAAGCTACTCAAAGTACATTTATTTTGTTTTCGAAACTTCTATATTAGACTTGTAAATATTTTTTTTAAATAACACATTTTACTTTAGTTAATGTTGTATTGAATTTTATGCAGTGAGTGCTGCAATATCACTTTTTGTATATTAATATACTTGTAGTTTTAAGATTTGGGAAAAAAACGCGTTCGCTATAAAATTGACGCGTCTTTTTTATTGTGGTCGCGAAGTATTTTTGATTTGTTATACATTGAATTGGAAGTTTCCATTTTTAGATTAGAAACATAATTAAAGAATATGTCCTTATGTTGTAAAGTTATTAAAAGTAATTTTCGAAATAATACCAGTTTGTTTAATTAAACCTCATGACTTTAATCTAGAGGTCATGGGTTTGAATCCCGTTATTTGAAGTTTCGAGCTAATTCTATTTATATGAAAGTCGTGTTAGTTTCACTATTTATAAATCAAGAATGGCTTTACTTATATGGCTGAAAATTGGTGAGGAGATAGCTTAGAGCCAGGAGACCAACATAGGATACTATTCCGTTTATGAATTGATGTTTCTGACTCGATTAAATTTGGGACAGATGTATAGGATAGTCGGGGAGAACACATAGGCTTTTTCCTTTTGTTTTTTTTCAATTCCACGCGGGCGAAAGCTAGTTTGAATTATTTGAAATGGTAGTAAACGAATAAAATAAAACCCCCATCAGTATAATAGTTTTTATTAATGAGAAGAATGAAATACAATCATAAAAATGCTTTATAGTATCTATTTTGTCGAGGATACATTGAAAAAATGTTTTTCTCAGTCTCCTTTGCGTCTTTCACTGAAACAAAAATGATACATGATTGTTGGCTCCAACGTAAACTATCGTAAACTTCCATATTGTGATTAACACCTTGTTTCGTGTTTTTTTTTTTAATTTACTAAATTCTGTTTCAAATGTAACGTTAGAATGAGGAAGAATTAGAAATCGATAATTTCGATTTTATGCTCATGTATTAATATGAACATATGATTAGTTCTGCCTAATTTTAGTTCCTTACCCTTTCTACCCTTTTCTTAAGAGGAAAGGATGGGAAGGAAAAGTGGATTTGACGGTGGTGGACACTTATAGGAAGGGGAAATGTCCTCTTTATATGCGTCTTATACAGGTGGCCGATTGCTCGTTTGCCACCTTATATTATAAAAAAAATATGTAAATCGTTAAATGTTTAAAGTTTTATTTTTCAAACATACAATAGTTTACAGGAGCCATAAATGTAAGATTTTTTACTAACTAAAACTTGTATAAAGAGTGACCTAAACAATATTAAAACAATGGATTTTCCACATAAGAATTTATAAAACGTATAAAAACACCCACCAACATCTTCACTGTCGTTACATTCATCAAAATTTTCGATTTCGAAACGTAAACGTGGACGATTTGTGCTAGGAATAAAATTACATTTATGTTCCACAAAATCTAAATTATGTGCAGCTGCTGATTGGAAGAGTACTAAAAAATCATCGCCTTCTGCTTTCAAATTACTAAGACAATTACCAAAACTTTCATTACTATCTTTCGAGAAATCCAACGAAACCTCATTATTGACATCACTTCTACTTGCAATGTCTGTATCTAATTCGATATTAAACATTTTGGCCTCGTTTTCATCGATAAATTCGAAATCTGACGAATTATATCCACTGCAATTGGAATCCAAATCATTATCTTTAAATTCATTATCAAATGTAAGATTCTTTACAAAATTAAAATTTTTGACATCATTTGGATGTATCAAATGAGATTCATTGCTAGATATTAAATCATTTATGCTGTCATTAACATCTTTTGGAGGGATATCGCTTCCATTATCTATAGTACTTTGACTTGAAAAACAACCTGAATCAGTAAAATGATCAGAATTAGCTTGGTTAACCATTATGGTGTCAAATTCTGTATTTATATATAATTGTCTATCTATATTTGTTACAGATAGATCCGTTAGAATATCTAGCATGTGTCTATTACTAGATATCTGGTATTCATTATCATTACCTATCTCTGTTTTACTATCATTGCAATTCTGATCAGTATGATATTCAAATTTTGTTTCAACTGAGACTTCACAGCTATTTATTCTTTTGTTTGTCGTTTCTAAATCCAAAGTTTGACTCCCTGAAGTATTTTGATCAGAATTCATGTTCGCTAAAATGTAACTAGTGTGCAAATTGTTTTCAAAACTTGCAGAAAAAATGTCCATCTCAGGGGCATTAGTCATAACGCCTTGAAGTATAAAGTGTTAAATATTTCTGAAAATAGTTTTACAAATGCTGTTAAATGTATGACAAAAAATTTCAAGGTGAAGGTAAAATTTTTAGAGGTAACTCCAAACACGATATCTAGACGTGTGAGACATAACTTACATATATTAATTAACAAAAAATAAAATCTGAAAACAGTAAATTGTGCCAGAAAATATCTATATCTTATAGAAAAATAAAAAATACAAACTAAAAAATAACCTAAACTCAATCAAGCAACATTGATCAAGATTGAGTTTGGATTTTAGGTTATTTTTTATATAATTTTGCATAGATATTACTATTACATACCTTTTATTAAATTAGGTTGTCTTCATAAAATGTTGAACTTAGTTTAACTAAGAAAAGCCAATAAAGTTTTCAAAAATAATTGTAAAATCCAACAAGTGAAAAAAAAAACATAGCAAAAGGTTCAGGTTGTACAGCCAACAACTGTAAAATATGAATAAGTAAATAATTAAAAGCTAGTATCTGTAATATAACTTTATTGATAAAGTTTTCTTGTTGTTTTACAAATCATTTATAAAATTCAAAAGCATTTTATTGGCAGTTTTTATGTCATTTCTTAAATAAGATACAGTTCTTCATAAATACAATTTGTTGTTTAGTGAAATGCAAATTTAGTTAAAAAATAAAATAAAAATTGAGTTTCATGTTTTATATCATTAACCTATAAATAAGACATAATTAATGGAAATAATTAATATATTTTTATTATAATAATATGGTTATCATTTTTTGCCCGATTTCTTTATTCCACCTTGAGTTAATGGCCCTTTCTGTGTTGCTTTGGCCTTAGCATCCTGGAAAAGTAAATTAAAAAGTTAGCTATAAACATAATCAACAATGAGTATTTTCTAATATAATATTTTTTCTTTTTTATTAATTATTAAAGTATGTTATTACTTGTAAAGCTTTTTGTTGTTCCTTTAACTTCTGTTTATGTGCCAGATCATCATCATCTAATTCCCTTTGTTCTTTCTTTGGTGCCTTCAGCGGCTTCTTTTTACCACCTTCACGGCCAGACATCTGTAATTAAGTAAAAGCTTATATTAAAACATTTATATTGGAAATGTCTGATAACTAGAAATTATACAATTCCTAAGAAAAGTATACAATGGGCACAAAACAACTGCAAACTTATAAAACTAAGAGCTATATCACTTTAAACTGTTGTGGTTTTTACAAATATAATGTTCGTAAGACACGAGTTTCTTAACACGATTTTTTTTTTAACTTCCAATATTACGGCACAGTTGCATGCGCCATGTTCAAGAGCTAACTGAGCTAAAACCCAATCGTGTTAAGAAAACCATATTTTATGAACATTATAGGGGCTATATTGTTCTTGAATGCTTAAAATATGATTTGAAAAACAATCTTAAGTATTTGTATTCAAGATTAATTTTGCACCCGGCTTTAAACGAAGTAATATTTCCTCTTAATACCCCGCTCTGAACGTGTGCTTAAAATTAATAAAAGACGACGGAATTTACTACATAACCTATCTTGGTCAGGAAATGCAATCACTCTTAGTACCATTTAAGTAAAATTCGATCAATAATCGCGTTTACTTACATTTCGATACGATAATATTAAAATTCGCCGAAACCGAAACTTGAAATTTTTACACAAGCCGAAGTTTTGATTTGATAATGTGACCAATGACAGCTAACTTCAAAATTATTTTTACGCAGCGAAGTTTGACAGCTTGACGGCGCATTGCCAGAAATTATTAGGTCTTTTTTATTTCATTAAATATTTTATTAAATACCCATCTTATTACGTTAAACAAATACTCTATTTTATAGGTACAAGAATTGCTATTTTGATACTCATTCTAAATCTCTTTCAGAGACAGTGTTACCCTGTCATATTTTTTCTTATTATAAAAAAAATGTCTTCCCTACCCATTATCCTTTTTTCTCTTTTAGGCACCTGATATCTTATTTATAAACAAAAATCAAAATATAGTTACCCATACTAAGTTACGTGGACTGAGAAATTGTGTTATACTTTTCCATTAATACGACTATTTGATTACGAGTACAATAGTTAGATACATAAGTAAAAACCTACTTCTTTCAGCCGGGATATGTTCTTTTGTGGCAACGTGTCGTACATTGACGAAAGGCATCAAGTAATTAGTGCGTTCAGAAAGGGCACAAAAACGGCAAACGTCCTTTCAAATTAACCGGGAGCATGTACATTGTGATGAGGTTTCGGAATCCCGAGCCGAAAGCAAAAGCGGGGTCGAAATAAAAGGGGGGTTGAAAACACGCGGGAGAGACAAATTACGTTTGAAGGCTCGCGTTCGCTTCCTGCATGCACTTAGTTGCGTCACACGTGACTTTATGCAGGCCGCTATTACACCGTACCCTGATGCATATGGAAGTAATTATTTTAAAAAATCAATATAATCATTTATTTCATTTCCAAATATTTCTATTTAGTCGTCTATGTGTATCTACAAGTGTAGGTTTCCGTCGAGCTCTAAGTCAATGTATACAATCTTCCGCATTTTTTTTAAAATTCGTTTATTTGGTAACAAGATTGTGTTAAAATGATTTTCCTAAACTAGGTCTTGGTGTTATTAATACGTAATAGAATTATAACGTTATATGAAAGGTAATTAAAACACCTATTTAAGTTTTCTGTATATTAATTACTGGCTGTTTCTTGCGACTTCTTCCAGGTGAAAAAAAAAGATAGGCCAAGTTACTCACCGATAAGGACGCTTTTTATTAGTGATGGAATTTATGAAATAAACCCAGTAATTTTAAAGTTATTTCAATACATACAAAAAGAAAAAATCTTTTCTCTTTATGATAGTATAGAGCTTATAGTATATAGCTTTTGCCCGCGACTCCGCGAAAAATTTAAAAATAACAATAAAGAAATTAAAAACATAGCCTGTGTTACTCACAGATTAATTACCTTTCTAACGGAGAAAGAATTTTTGAAATCGGCCCAGTAGTTTTTGAGCCTATTCATAACAATCAAACAAAGTTTTCCTCTTTGCAATATAAGTATAGATGACAAATTAAGGTATAATTAAAAAAAATCTACAGATTTAATGTTCGGTGTGATATATACTCTATCCTTAGTCCCGGAAAAATGTACCGTGTATTTTACACCAACGCTAGTGGAGTGAGATTTTGTTCTATTTTCTTAGCGACTATCGGAAGCTGTGATAAAATACAATGAAGTGAGCGTCTTCGCTTTTGAATACGAAACTTGTATCGCAAGATTGTTGACTAGAATTTTATTACATTTTTATTAACTGATTGTAACTGATCTGTAAATATTGAACAACTGTTTAGTCGCGCTTTGATTCCTATGAGCTTATATGGAGGTGCACACTTGATTTTTAGTTGTGCAACTAAACAATTGAATTGGCTGCGAAACAATCGACAATCACATAACAGATGTGCAATAGTTTATTTAAAGACTAACTTACGCGACTCCGTGTAAAATTAAAAAAAAAAACAACAAAAGTGGGTAGCCTATGTGTTCTTCCAGACTATCCTCTGCATCTACACCAAAAAATTTTTTTCTCTTTTATTGATAAATCTGTTATGGTTATTAAGCTTATTTTATTACTAGTGTACAGCGACCTACGACTATCTACGCTCCTTTTTACATCTTGGGAAGGGGGGGTGGCTGAAAACCAGCTCGACACTGGATCTCAACCAGTATCGGTTAAGCTGAACCTCCCCCTTTTGCCATCTGTTACAATTTTTTCATGTACGTTTTTTTTTTATTTTGTACTACTCTGTGTGTATTCTTGGATAGCAATAAAGAGGTTTTTATTTATTATTTATTTATATAAAATATCATATAAATCCGTTCAGCTTTTTAGGCTACAAACTCTAACAAATGTCCATACATCTATTAGTATGATGTGCGCTCGCTCTCATTGTAGCGCAAAGTTTTTTTACTGGCATAATGGACATAGAGGGATCGACGGACCTCAGAATGAATTTAGATGAAATTAAGCATACACTTGGAATAATATCTTGAAGACACCATAGTTAGTTTTTTTATGCGCGGATAAAGTCACAGGCAAAATGTAGTAAATAAATCATGTACAAAGTGCACATACAGCATGTAAGATCATAAAGTGTGAAATAAAATCCTTTACCTTTCATGTTTTCCGATTTTAAAATTTACAGCGGGCAAATCTACGCCGTTTGGCGAAAGAGGAATTTCCTGTATGGCAATAAATAATCTTGTATGAAGCCACAACGGTAGTTTTCTACGACGGGAAATAAAACGACTCATATAGGTTGTTAGTATTTACGATTTGTTCCTATACGAGTTTATCGTGTAACTTTTTTTTTTTATTTTTGCCTGGCGTTTTCTAAAATGCCAGTATTCGAGTTCAGATCTTACTAATATAAATGCGAAGGTTTTGATGGATGTTTGTTAAAGTTAGTAGACTAAACTGCAGAACGGATCTCGATGAAATTTGGAATAGATGTAGAGGATAGTCTGGAAGAACACATAGATTATTCACTTTTGTTGTTTTTTGACGGAGTTACGGGCGAAAGATTGTATTTTAATTAAATAGTGAATTTAGTAGTAGAGGACATGCTTAAGAAAGGAGTGGATTCAGATATGACGGCTGATAGAAATGTATGGAAGAGCAGCACATACTGTGCCGACCCTCCATAAGGGATAAGGGCAAGTGGATAATGATGAGTGAATTTAGTATTACTTTACGAATTTAGTAGGAATAGAATTTAGTTAAATAGAGTTTTCTTTATCATTTATTATGACTATACTCAATACCTAACGTAGGGGTAGACAGGAATTACAAAATATAGTTTTTTCTACTCATTAAGTTTGTAATATAACCGTACGTAATATAGGGGTAGAAAATAAATTCATTTTTATATTAACAGGCGACTATTTCACGACGTAAGCCGCGTAATTATATTAAAACTACTAAGCACATTGAAACATGAACCTATATAATCAAAAAATCAAGCGATTTACTTCCTTATTGCTTCGTTCTTAGAGGATAGAATCCTTTGCGTTATACTTAGATGTATCAGCTTGTTGAACACAGTTGTACAGATGTGAACGCACACAAACACATTTTTGAGTTTAAAAAGCAAACGCACACTGGCTTGTCTGTACGCACTTTTCAAGACGAGTGTACGTGTCCATTGCACACTTTCTAACTTCTAAGGCTTCTATTTTAATTTAAAAAACAAATGACACACGATCAAATTCCAATTATACAATAATTTCAGGCAGATATTAAAAAATTGCTGATATTATAAAAGCGAAAGTTTCGATGGACGGATGTTTGTTAGAGTTTGTAGCCTAACCTGGTGATGATCGATGAAAGTCTGGAAGAACATATAAGCATTTTAATTCCACGCGGACGCATTCGCGGGCGAAAGCTAGTTATAATTATAAATGCGATAGTTCAGATGGATGGAAGAATGGAATTTATCACGTATATATCGTAAAGAAACTCGATTCTCGGATTTGGCATAGATGTAAAATGTTCTCCAACTGTGCCGAATTTCATCGAGATCCGTTCACCTATTCAGTTTAGAAAGTACAAATACTAACCAACATCCATCCAAACATTCGCTTCAGTAAGAATTAGTAAGATTGTAAAAATAAATGGATTTGACGGTGTAGG